CCACAACCACATAATCATATCCAGACCACAACCACATAATCATATCCAGACCACAACCACATAATCATATCCAGACCACAACCACATAATCATATCCAGACCACACTCACATAATCATATCCACACCACAACCACATAATCATATCCAGACCACAACCACATAATCATATCCAGACCACAACCACATAATCATATCCAGACCACAACCACATAATCATATCCAGACCACACTCACATAATCATATCCACACCACAACCACATAATCATATCCAGACCACAACCACATAATCATATCCAGACCACAACCACATAATCATATCCAGACCACAACCACATAATCATATCCAGACCACAACCACATAATCATATCCAGACCACAACCACATAATCATATCCAGACCACAACCACATAATCATATCCAGACCACAACCACATAATCATATCCAGACCACAACCACATAATCATATCCAGACCACAACCACATAATCATATCCAGACCACAACCACATAATCATATCCAGACCACAACCACATAATCATATCCAGACCACAACCACATAATCATATCCAGACCACAACCACATAATCATATCCAGACCACAACCACATAATCATATCCAGACCACAACCACATAATCATATCCAGACCACACTCACATAATCATATCCACACCACAACCGCATAATCATATCCAGACCACAACCACATAATCATATCCAGACCACAACCACATAATCATATCCAGACCACACTCACATAATCATATCCACACCACAACCACATAATCATATCCACACCACAACCACATAATCATATCCAGACCACAACCACATAATCATATCCAGACCACAACCACATAATCATATCCAGACCACAACCACATAATCTTATCCAGACCACAACCACATAATCATATCCAGACCACAACCACATAATCATATCCAGACCACAACCACATAATCATATCCACACCACAACCACATAATCATATCCAGACCACACTCACATAATCATATCCACACCACAACCACATAATCATATCCAGACCACAACCACATAATCATATCCAGACCACAACCACATAATCATATCCAGACCACAACCCACATAATCATATCCAGACCACAACCACATAATCATATCCAGACCACAACCACATAATCATATCCAGACCACAACCACATAATCATATCCAGACCACAACCCATCCAACCAAGAACATTCAAAGAAAAAAAAATCCACCAAATCATAACCCACCCAATCTATAAAACCACCAATTTAAGAACCCACCCAATCTATAAAACCACCAATTTAAGAACCCACCAAATCTATAAAACCAAAAACTTAAGAACCCACCCAATCTATAAAACCAAAAACTTAAGAACCCACCCAATCTATAAAACCACCAATTTGAGAACCCATCTAATCTAGAGCCCACCAAATCTATAAAACCACCAATTTAAGAACCCACCCAATCTATAAAACCACCAATTTAAGAACCCACCCAATCTATAAAACCACCAATTTAAGAACCCACCAAATCTATAAAACCAAAAACTTAAGAACCCACCCAATCTATAAAACCAAAAACTTAAGAACCCACCCAATCTATAAAACCACCAATTTGAGAACCCATCTAATCTAGAGCCCACCAAATCTATAAAACCACCAATTTAAGAACCCACCCAATCTATAAAACCACCAATTTAAGAACCCACCCAATCTATAAAACCACCAATTTAAGAACCTACCTAATCTAGAGCCCACCCAATCTATAAAACCACCAATTTAAGAACTCACCCAATCTATAAAACCACCAATTCAAGAACTCACCCAATCTATAAAACCACCAATTCAAGAACCCACCCAATATATAAAACCACCAATTTAAGAACCCACAAATCTATAAAACCACCAATTTAAGAACCCACCAATCAATAAAACCTCCAATTTAAGAACCCACCAATCTATAAAACCACCAATTTAAGAACCCACCTAATCTGTAAAACCACCAATTTAAGAACCCACCTAATCTAGAGCCCACCAAATCTATAAAACCACCAATTTAAGAACCCACCCAATCTATAAAACCACCGATTTAAGAACCCACCCAATCTATAAAACCACCAATTTAAGAACCCACCCAATCTATAAAACCACCAATTTAAGAACCCACCAATCTATAAAACCACCGATTGAAGAACCCACCCAGCCAAGTGTTGTAAGAGTCCACCAAGACATGGAACCTTCTAGCATTATGATCGGGTTTCCCCGATAACCAAACCACACTAAAAACATCTCATTTGCCACGAGTACTGACTAGAAGTAGGTCAATTAGACCCCAGTTCTTCTGGCGCCTCCATGATTGCCCCCCCCCCCCCCCCAACCTCCCGCCCGGGAAGTTTCAATAAATAACTCGGCTAGAGAGGACCGCAGATTAAAATCAATAGGAGCACTCTATCTTCCCCTGGCGCTCAGCCGGCACGTGTGCAGCGTCCGGCTAGTACGGCGCCTCTTGTCCGGCTAACAATCTCAATTTTAGGAGGGACTGGGGTAGAGGGTAGCCACAAGGTAGCCTGGGCTTAGCTCTGGGGTAGCCTGGGTCTAGCTCTAGGGTAGCCAAAAGGTAGCCTGGGCCTAGCTCTAGGGTAGCCAAAAGGTAGCCTGGGCCTAGCTCTAGGGTAGCCACAAGGTAGCGTGGGCCTAGCTCTAGGGTAGTCACAAGGTAGCCTGGGCCTAGCTCTGGGGTAGCCTGGGTCTAGCTCTAGGGTAGCCACAAGGTAGCGTGGGCCTAGCTCTAGGGTAGTCACAAGGTAGCCTGGGCCTAGCTCTGGGGTAGCCTGGGTCTAGCTCTAGGGTAGCCACAAGGTAGCTTGGGTCTAGCTCTAGGGTAGCCACACGGTAGCCTGGGCCTAGCTCTAGGGTAGCCACAAGGTAGCCTGGGCCTAGCTCTAGGGTAGCCACACGGTAGCCTGGGCCTAGCTCTAGGGTAGCCACAAGGTAGCCTGGGCCTAGCTCTAGGGTAGTCACAAGGTAGCCTGGGCCTAGCTCTAGGGTAGCCACACGGTAGCCTGGGCCTAGCTCTAGGGTAGCCACAAGGTAGCCTGGGCCTAGCTCTAGGGTAGCCACAAGGTAGCCTGGGTCTAGCTCTAGGGTAGTCACAAGGTAGCCTGGGCCTAGCTCTAGGGTAGCCACACGGTAGCCTGGGCCTAGCTATAGGGTAGCCAAAAGGTAGCCTGGGCCTAGCTCTAGGGTAGCCACACGGTAGCCTGGGCCTAGCTCTAGGGTAGCCACAAGGTAGCCTGGGTCTAGCTCTAGGGTAGTCACAAGGTAGCCTGGGCCTAGCTCTAGGGTAGCCACACGGTAGCCTGGGCCTAGCTCTAGGGTAGCCAAAAGGTAGCCTGGGCCTAGCTCTAGGGTAGCCACACGGTAGCCTGGGCCTAGCTCTAGGGTAGCCACAAGGTAGCCTGGGCCTAGCTCTAGGGTAGCCAAAAGGCAGCCTGAGCCTAGCTATAGGGAAGCCACAAGGTAGCCTGAGCCTAGCTTTAAAGTAGCCTTAAGGTAGCCCGGGCTATTTGGAATACCCGGTTAAGCTTCCACGGTGTGACAGTGTAGCTTTAGGCAACTTACGAACAAGACAGAATAGACAGACTTCAGACAGGCCAGTTAGAGACACACAAGACAGGCCAGTTAGAGACACACAAGACAGGTCATGGACTAACATGACGCGTTATGCGTCATTACTTTCTTTCGAGAGAAGGCGGTGTGCTAGAAAATAATTGTCAATCATCAGTTAATTAGTACCACAATCATCAGTTAATTAGTACCACAATCATCAGTTGACTAACAAGCTCAATCATATTTAAAGTTAAAGTGCGAAGGGCGGGCTGGGGATGCTTACAAGATCACGTGACAATCTGACAACAAACATGGCTGACAACCTCTGACCCTCAGAGAAAACATACATTGATGAACAAACAACAATGGCGGCCAGGACAGTGGGGGGGGGGGGGAGGTTGGGGAGGGTCCGAATCAATTCAAACATCGCTGCACTATTTGGGTGGGCCATTGGCCGGGTGGCCAGGGTTTGTTGCCAAATCTAGGCCACAAATTAGGTTGTCTAAATTAAACAGGGCGGGATCGATATCACGAAATATCGACAAAACGAATACGTCTGCGGGGGGCAAGCTCTTGTCAGTCGCCGGCTCAAATGTTAATTGAAAATGCCGGTCGTTAGAAAAATGCCGGTCGTTAGAAAAATGCCGGCCGCTAGAAAAATGCCAGCCGCTAGTCCGGTGCCCCGACATGCATAATTGACTGTCCCCCTCATGCCCAGCTTCCAACCATCGCGCGGTTCAAATCTGCGACATCGGTTAGCGAATGCGTCCACATCCGGTCAGCTGTTCCCGCCAAAAGTTGACCCGGTATCGATTGGACAAACATTCGACGATTTGGTGTTAAAATAAGCCGCGGCGAGAGTGTTGGGCCTTCAAACAGCCATTCCCGCCTCTACACTAACAGGGGATGGGGTTGGAGGGGGGGGGTGAGAGGGGGGGGGGTAGAGAAATATTTGTTGAAAGCTGTTGAGAGCGATCAAGTTGAGATCACTCTATGGGCAAAAAATGTTTTTATTTCATCATCAAACAAAATTACTGGGAAAAATATTTTTATAATCAAATATATATAATTATAAATATAATTTTTAGGCATGCATATATATATATATATATATATATATATATATATATATATATATATATATATATATATATATATATATATATATATATATATATATATATAATTATAGATAGATATGGATATGGATATAAAATGTTGACAGTGGCGAATAAAATGGCGACCGTTCTATTGTCGAGATGCTCCACCAGGCGACCGTTCTCTTGTCGAGATGCCCCACCATATGCCCCACCAGATGCCCCACCATATGCCCCACGTGATGCCCCACGTGATGCCCCACGTGATGCCCCACCACGAGATGCCCCACCAGTTTCTGGCCACCAGTTCTGAGAGTGGAGTCGGTGCTGAGGGTAAAGGTCGAGTGATGCATGCTGGAACCAAAATGGCGACTAGGCGCGGTGTAAATTTAATCAAAGCACGAGGTGTCGTCTGCTGGGGCCCTACGCCTGCTCCCCGCGGGAGAGCTTTGAATATTCCACGCCTCAGTGCTAGGGTGGGGAGTCGAAGGGTGGGTGGTGGTGTCGGGTGGGGGGGGGGAGTTGAATGTCTAAACATGTTAGACGGCAACACAAGCCGAGCCGATGACGTACATAGACACGTGATACAACAATGACGTCATAGTGATTGATATTTGATGACGTCCCGCGCATGTCTGACGTCAGAGGGCCATCAAGTTATGTGCATGTCCGTGGGATTTGTGTGGCCCTTTGGACAGTACAAGTTTCAGCAATTTGGGATGTTAGCTTGTGGGGGTTGTGGGGGTGTCAGGTTGTGGGATTTGTCTGGCCCTTTGGACAGTACAAGTTTCAGCAATTTGGGATGTTAGCTTGTGGGGGTTGTGGGGGTGTCAGGTTGTGGTGGGGGTGTCCAGGTTTGTAGGGTGTTTGTGGAAGTTTTGGCGAAGCAGTGGACATAAGGCTGACCAAAAAAAAAAGCCGACAACCAAAGGGCCGACAACCAAAAGGCCGACAACCAAAAGGCCGACAACCAAAAGGCCGACATCATTGGGTTGGTAAGAGTAGGATGGAGCATCTTAGTTAAGAAAGACATCCAAATTTCCAGCCAATGGTGCAAGTAGCGCTTAACTATCTCGCCTCGTTAGCTGTCCGACGTTAGCTGTCAGACGTTAGCTGTCCGACGTTAGCTGTCAGACGTTAGCTGTCAGACGTTAGCTGTCAGACGTTAGCTGTCAGACGTTAGCTGTCAGACGTTAGCTGTCAGACGTTAGCTGTCAGACGTTAGCTGTCAGACGTTAGCTGTCAGACGTTAGCTGTCAGACGTTAGCTGTCAGTCATTAGCTGTCAGACGATAGCGAGGGTTTCATCCGATGGACGGCGTCGGTCATTTGGGTTGCTGTAATACCCCGTGTATGTGGAATGTTCTAGACCTCTTGTTCCAACATAGAACAATCTACATCCCGTTTATAGATGGCAGCTTGCTTGGGCCGCCACAGAACTATTCTAGCGTCGTTAGTCTCGTTCTTGATTGCGCGCTTGTTAGGCCTACTACGTCATCAGTGTGGGGCGCTGTCAAGGTCTAGCGTCCACAGAAGTGGGGCGCTGTAAAGGTTTGGCTCCCTACTACAACATCAATCCACTTTAATATTACTCGAACCTAGCATTATTTAGGGCTGCTACCACTTATAAACATGTTACTGTAATTACTGTAAACACCACCCACGTTTATAAACCACCAAGATTTTCCAATTCTCAACAAGTAAATCCAAATTAGAACGTTTTTGTGACTTTTTTTTAAATTTTATTTCTGTGTCTTTTTCCGATAAAATTTTTCCTTTGTGACATTTTGTGTTTTTTTTTCCTGTCACTTCATTTCCCGCTTCCCGATCCTCTATGGAGCCAGACGAACCTTTCCCGCTTCCCGATCCTCTATGGAGCCAGACGAACCTTTCCCGCTTCCCGATCCTCTATGGAGCCAGACGAACCTTTCCCGCTTCCCGATCCTCTATGGAGCCAGACGAACCTTTCCCGCTTCACGATCCTCTATGGAGCCACACGAACCTTTCCCGCTTCACGATCCTCTATGGAGCCACACGAACCTTTCCCGCTTCCCGATCCTCTATTGAGCCACACGAACCTTTGCCACCATTTTTCAGATTACTCGCTACCAAAAGTCAGGTAAAACTACAAGTCATGACTGGGCACAATTTTAGGTTGAAATCTCAAAAAAAAAAAACAGATTGAAAAAAAAACTGGCAATATTTAGTAGAGACAGCCGTCATCTTGGAGTGATAAAATATTTAAAAAAATACATTTAGTAAAGTAACAAAACAAAAAAAAAAAAAAAAAAATACATTTAGTGAAGTTACAAAACAAAAATAAATAACTAAATAAAATACATTTTAGTAGAAAAAAAAATTAAAATTAAAAAAAAAACATTACAATTATATCGTAATTTTTTTTTTTAAAATATAATAAATCTGCGGTTACTTTATATATAAAAAATTACGGTCTTTAAATATATTAATGCACTACTATTTATATCACTATAATTAAAAGCGTGGACCACTTGTTTAAATACTTATTATTATAGCGGCCCACGCTTTTAATTATAGTGGTATAAATAGTAGTGTATTAATATATTTAAAGAAAGTAATTTTATATATATATATAGTAACCGCAGATTTATTATATTTTTAAAAATTATTTTATATTTAATAATAATTGTATTATTTTCTTCTTTTTAGTGCATTTAAAAAAGCTTGTAATTATAAACGTTTTTATGTATTTATTATTTTTATACTTTTTAGTATTAACGAGTTATACGCATGTTAAGACAATATAGTGTAGCAACAAATATATGATACACTATTTGAAAAACAGTTTTGCTTTAATAATATGATTAGTTTTACTATACGTGTCACAGTATTATGGGATGGCGTTGTCTAGTGGTAAAGAACTAGACTGCTGACCCGACTAAAAACCATCGCGAGTCTACTGGACGTGACGACGCGCTTTTGACGTAGAGCCCCCCTCGCTCCACGCCCAACACGGCCGTCATGACGCCTGTGTATAGAACTGCCAACTAATTCGGTCCAAATTTTAATTAATTCATAAAAAATAATAATTAGGCATCCAATTAAGTAAAATTTAATGTCATAATGCATTTTCTTCATGTCTTGACCCATGTACCAATTACGAACCGTATCTGCCAGTTAGAAGTGTCCGAATTTTCGCTCCGGCGTTTCGATCTAGACAGACGGATAGACAGAGGAAGTGAGTGTAATAAAAGCTTGTAAAATAGGACACTCCCTAAAGTTCGTCGTTTCAAATATACACGCCCCCCCCCCCACAAATCTCTCGCTATAACCCCCTCTCCAAAAGCGACCTAATCTCTAAGCCTGCTTCTGATGGGGATATTTTTGAGTCAAGCCCTGGGGCGATTCGACGCATTTTGCATCGAGTGTGAAAATCCCTTAAGTCGTATCAAATGACAAGTGTGAAGATCCCTTAAGTCGTCTGCGCTCAGTCTGTCTTCCATCCCAGTTTTTTGTCCGACATCAAAGGCAAAAAAATTCTTCCAGAAGTTTTTTTTTTTTAAATCTTGTACGACAATACGTCTAAACTGTTATAAATTACAAGACATTAAAAACTACTTTCTTCAACATTGCAGATATAAATCAAATATCAGTAAAAAAAATTAACTACTTTCTTCAACATTACAGATATAAATCAAATATCAGTAAAAAATTAAGTTATGTAAAGCTTTAGATATGACGTCATTAAAATGTCATTTCTAGAAGCTTGGACACTGATGTGAATTGAAAGGATTGGGGGATGGGGGGGGGGGGGGGAAGGAAGGGAGGGAGGGAGGTAAGGTGAAGGTTGGAAGTGTGGAGAGGTTGGGAGCATGGAGGTGAGGAGGTAGGTGGAGTAGAATGGAGGTGAGGAGGTAGGTGGAGTAGAGTGTAGGTGAGGAGGTAGGTGGAGTAGAGTGGAGGTGATTTGAGTAGGTAGGTAGAGTAGAGTGGAGGTAATGTGATTGGGATGCAGATTGCAATGGACACTTGACAAAAAAAATTACGGGAGGTGGGGGGAAGCAGAATAGATATTAATTAATGGTAAGCTTGGTGTGACAATGTGACGTCATCTCATACAGTAAGTCACGCGTCACGTGTCACGTCGATCTTACGTGACAACGTGATCACTCAACATAAGCGATACATCACTGGAAACATCACTGGAGTGACTCATGTCGCCACTACTCGGGTCAGTTTTCTGACCACACGTGCGGGCAGGAATTCATCTTCAAGTCGTCTGGTAATCAAACAATGGGTCTCCGGCATTGTCTCATAATTCTGGCCAAATTTAGCAGTCAAAATTCTGGCCACATTTAGCAGCCAAAAGTCTGGCCACATTTAGCAGTCTAAAGTCTGTCCATATTAATTTTAGCAGCCAAAAGTCTGGCCACATTTAGCAGCCAAAAGTCTGGCCACATTTAGCAGTCAAAAGTCTGGCCACATTTAGCAGTCTAAAGTTGTGAAGCTTTAAGACAAAAAACTGGGCTCGTGTTTCTCGCACTCAGATATTTATGCCCTTTTTTTTTGGTCAATGGCGCGTGACGTGCAGGTATCGGCTTGCACGTGGTCAGGTGACCGGGTTAATGTCCACATTATACCACCCACCGAACAGAAACTATCAAATATGCCACGTCATTAACTCATCGTCACCGAAATCAATCAACCGTGGAACGCTTTTTAATGAGTACCCAGGGCCCAGTTAGTTAAATGGCAGTCAAGTGGTGTGACGTCAAGTGCTGACGTCAAGTGGTGACGTCAAGTGGTTTGACGTCAAGTGCTGACGTCAGCATTCATGCGGTGACGTGTCAAGACTGCCTCGCGGTGAACTGGAGCAGTCTTACAGCCGGGCTGTTACCTGACGTCACTTCGCTTCGCATCTCGCTGACAGGATGTAGGCAACCCAAGCGCGGCGCATGCGCAGAAGCTCCGGGTAAAGCAAACTGTCAAGATGGACCCCGACTGTGGTCAATGTCCCCGACCTGTAGGTCAGGATGACCTTTGAAGCTAACAGTGACCTGATTGGACGGGGCATCCGATTGGTTGCTGCCTCAAAGCTCCTGAGATAAATACAACAGCAACATTGTAGAGTGTGTGTTTGTATGTGCGTGTGTGTGTACGTGTACAGGTGTTAGTGTGTGTGTATATGTGTATATGTGTGTGTGTGCATGTGCATGTGTCTGTGCGTGCGTGTATGTGTGTGTATGTGTGTGCATGTGTGTGTATGTGTGTGTGTGTGTGTGTGTTTATACCGCCATAACATTGCGGTGTAAAGAACAGAGTCAGGCGTCATAAAATTTGAATTGTCTAGCCACT